TGTATTCTATTTGTTTTTTTTTTTCTTCTTTTTTCTTTCTTTTTTCACAATTAGTCTCTCTCTCTCTCTCTCTCTTCTCTCTCTCTCTCTCTCTCTCTCTCTCTCTCTCTCTCTCTCTCTCTCTCTCTCTCTCTCTGTTTTTCTATAATTACAAAATACATAGTTTGAAGAATCACGTGACATATATATACACACACACACACACGTTTATACAAAGAAGAACGAAGTAAGAAGAAGATCGATTACACGCTTATCTCAATGAAAAAGATATCGATCGATCTTCTTTTCTTCGCTGGCAAAATGCGGAAGATCAAAGGCGTAAAACTCTTCCGAGCATGCCGCTAAATCCACAAAAGACACGATCGGAATTAGAAACGCAAAATACGCGGACGTAAAAGCCTCCATTGTACGCGTCCTCTTCACATTATTCATATATGCTATACTATCTATATATGTGTATATATATGTGTAGATATGCACACGTACATATACGCTAGTAAGAGAGCCTTACGTTGCGATTTTCGAGCGCAATCAGCCGCGAGATGCGCGATCTCTCTGATCTAGCCGCGCTCCGTCACATCTTTAAGTTACGAGAGAGCAAAAGAGAGAAAGGGAGAGAGAGACATAAAGAGAGCGAGTGAGAAATAGCGAGGACTCGACGAAGAACAAACACAGAACGTATAGCGTGGGAGTTCGACCCAAGCAACCTAGGGAAATCGAGATCACGCGCATGGCAAAAGCGAGACAACATGTAGATCCGTGCGATCTCTATGTGTATTATTTCGCGTACCAAAGCTTCGCCCTGTTATATCCAACTTCCTTATCCTCTTCTCTGTCTCTCTCTCTATCTATCTATTTAAATATCTATCTATTTAAATATCTATCTATTTATTTATCTATCTATCCATCCATCTATCTATCTATCTATCCATCTATCTATCTATCTATCTATCTATCTATCTATCTATCTATGTGTCTTTCTCTCTCTCTTTTTCTCTCTTGTTAAAAAATTACTTCTTTAATTACTTCTTCGTTATCTTTTTATTTCTATATCAACGTTTAAACATAAATCGATCTTGAATATAATTATTTGTACATACATATTTGTACATATAATACATATCTATCATACTTTCTTTTTTATGATATCATCAAACTTTTTAAAATAATTTGTCTCTCTGCTTTTCAAATCGAGAAGAAAAGTTTTGTTGACTATCGTTTGCCATATTATTATTTCTTAAATACAAACAATAGAGAAAACTTTCTTTATGAAACTTCATGGGATAATTCATTTATGGATGGTACATTTTCATCTCTTTGATTCGATGACGACACGGTCGGTGGGTGGGTGGATGGGAGGGAGTGAGGGAACATTAAGTAAAAGACAATGTTTTGCGAAGAAAGAGAAAACTTTTCAAAGATAATTCATCGTAAACGAGCCGAGCAACGTATATTTCGAGTCTTATCTGTGTCGGTGTATCGAAAGAAAGGAAGTCGAGTTGGCGGCCCGCCGTGAGCATTGAGCATGACGAAAAGATAAAAGAATCGCAAAAGAGGGAGAAAGAAACAGAGAAAGAGAGAGAGGGAGAGGGAGTAAAGAAGTAAGGGTGGGAGAAAGAAAAAAGAGAGAGAGAGAGAGAGAGAGAGAGAGATGAACCTCGTGATCGATTTTCGAGACTTCACAAAAGCCTTGATCCTCGTCTTTTATGTTCTATCTTTCTTTTTCTCTTCTTCGATATAGAGCATCCAGTGGAGCGAATACACATACATAGATAGGCATTAGATACGGCGAACCGTGTAACAGCCTGCAATTAGAACATAGATAACAAGTCGATTCGATAAAGACTGCCCACAATCGTTCGTATTCGCGTTCGCCAACCTACATACCTAGACGAACAGTGACTTTCAGCGTTATCTACTTTTATCAACTTTTATATTATATATTGGTTCTGATACATGTACGTACATACATACATACATACATACATACATACATACATACATACATACATACATACATACATACATACATACATACATACATACATACATACATACATACATACATACATACATACATACATACATACATACATACATACATACATACATACATACATACATACATACATACATACATACATACATACATACATACATACATACATACATACATACATACATACATACATACATACATACATACATACATACATACATACATACATACATACATACATACATACATACATACATACATACATACATACATACATACATACATACATACATACATATATACATATGTATATCATTCGTGCAGATGTTAAATCATTCGATATGATTATTCTGAAATATTTTCGATTGTCTAAGAATTTTGTTAAACACCTTAATTATCGAGATTCACGATTTCACACATCGATATCTAACATCTTGTTTTTTCTCTTTTTTGTTTTTTGCTTTTTTTTTTGCTTTTTTATTTTGGCATAATAGATATAACAAAAAAAGCACTGTCATATTTTGTATTCATTGCATTGCAATAATACGTAGAATGTCGTAATATTATTCGTGCGTGAATGTCTTAATGTGAGATTTTTTTTTTACAATAATAGATTAAGAATTAATGTCACACTTTTTGTATCAAATCTTATTAGTCTTGTAAATTATTAAGAAATCTAAACGAAGCAAAGAAAATGAAATGTTGATCATAGGTTGAACTTTAATAAACGTGTTAATAGAAAATTCTTAGTTCGTTAGAGGATTTATTATGGTTGGGGTAAAATAATGATGAAACTTCATCGATCGTGCCAAAGTATCTCAGCAAAGAGAAAAAGTATGGAGAAGCGTGTGGCCGGTCGATGAACCGGCTTAGAATTTCTCCCTCTTCCTCCCTCCCCTCTTTATCTTTTTTCCGATTCGCGGTTTGCTCTGTAGGACACGGCGAGGTCCACCAGTTCACGTGTACAATGAACCTCTAATGATGCTTACTTTGACACGGTGTGTTAAAAGAGACGCGCGCTCAGTGTCATTTGTTACGTCTCTGTCCCTTTCAAGAACGACGCTTGGACAATGTCATTTTTCATTTGGCAACTAATACGATCGTTTGTTGTTTGCTGGAGGAAATGTACTTACAAGATCTTCGATTATTTATCATCGATCGGGCTTTTATATATAAGCCGCTTTGTCTAAGATTTTTCAATACGAAAATTAATACTATGACTTGATTTATTATATTTTTTTTGTTATATTTATATTATATATATATATATATTATTTTATTTATATTGATAATACATATATATACAATATATCACCGATTTGCACCCACGCTCGATCATTTCCAAAGAGTCGTTTAATCGTTAGTCATATAACAACGATATAATGATTTTATTGCGAATATTTATTAAAGTGGAATAATTCTTTTTGTAAATGTACGATATAAATAAGTTAAAAAAAAAAAAAAAGAAAGAAAAGAATCTTTTTCACCATTTGATACACGAAACGAAACTAGAAAGAAAATAAGTATTTGGTAATTCAATCGAAAGAGATAGCAATTTATAGATACATTAGACAAAACGGAGTTCAGTGACATCGACTCGTATTACGGGTTTATTGCATGGCCGGTGCGCGGCGTTAGAATCGTGGAAGGTTTCACCAGCGGCATAAAATTCTAGAAACTGGGTTTTGTAGGATTATGTTTTCTGTTCCGTTCACGCTATTTTGTTTTTATCACGAGAAGAGAATCTTGAGAAAAAAGAATGAGTCGAGAAAATGGAATACCGTCCGTTTCAATTAGCTGCCTACCACCTTTGAAAACATAAGCTATCACGTGCATACATATTTATTTATATGTGTCCTTATAGGTTGTTGTTATATATATATATACATATGTATATATAGATATATATATATATATATATATATATACATACATATATAGACATGCAATAAACGCGTACACTTGGCTTACTTCCTTGTACTGTACGAACTTTTATGTAATACGAACGCTGGTACTTTCACCGATGCTCGAATTTAGGCGCGACAATCGAATTGAACGAGAGCAGTACAGAACGCCTCCGGTGCATAGCCTGAGTCGAGTTCTCACTTTCTAGAAGATTGTGTTTAGATCATCGGATTGCAAGGGAAGTCTCTGTTTGAAAGGAGAAGCCAACCTCGAGATTCCCGGTTCATCGACTTCAAGAATGTCGTATTCGATATCACGATATTCGAATTGAAATTGTTGGAATGTCGTTCCTCTGTAAACATATTAGTGTCCGCATATATATTCGTATATATGTTGTATTCGTATATATGTGCATGTGTGTATGTGTATGTGTGTGTGTGTATGTGTGTATACATGTATATATGTGCATGTGTGTATGTGTATGTGTGTATACATGTATATGTTATGTATACACGCTTGTCGCGCACTAACATCAAAGTTTCTTTGTTGACATCTCCGTTAGACTAGTCTCGTTCGATAAACAAACGATGTTAGTCTACACGAAGATACGAGATGGTACGGACGGTGACTCTTAAATGTTTACACGTATCTTATATATTACCCCAACGATCGATAATTTTTACATTACATCTGTACTCGATTACGAGACTTTCTTACACAATTTCTTTTTCTCTCTCTCTCTCTCTCCCTCTCTAAACACATCCAAACGATAATTCCTTAATCTCTTGTAATTCAATCGAGAAAAGGAAGAATTATGAACGAGGAATAATAACGCGATGGCGGATGCGTTGCTAATATCTAACTTAGAAATTTTTATACGACTTAGAGATTACTATATAAGATCGGTTGCAATTAAGAAAAGCATTAAAAGAATGGTATTACTCTTTAATTCACGGGTGAAAGCAAACGAATGATTTAATCAAACTTCCTTGTCCTCCTACTATAATAATTCTTTAAAGTATCTGTTATAAATGAAATAATAATAAAAAGAACGAACATGAGCAATTAATTTCTAAAGGTTAATTTTTTGTACTTATCCATTTTTTCTTTTTTTTTTTTTTGTTCAGGGGCAAATACGCAACGGTGAGAAGATGCCGAGAGAGATCGAGCGGAAGGCAGTGGGCCGCAAAGTTTCTAAGGAAGAGACGACGAGCTCAGGAATTGAGGGCGGAGGCACTTCACGAGGTCGCGGTGCTGGATGCCGCTGCTCACTGTTCTCGCCTCGTTTCCCTCCACCAGGTCTTCGAGACCAATACCGAGATGGTTCTCGTCTTGGAACTGTAAGTTTTTTTTCCTAGTGTGTGTGCACATACTGGACTCGCTCTAACTGTACTTCTCTATGAAGCGTCATACGGTTATTTCTCTTTCTGTTTCTCTCTCTCTCTCTCTCTCTCTCTCTCTTTCTTTCTTTTATAATACATACATTATAGACTGACGCGTATGCATTTTATATTATTAGATTGTGCAAGCATAACTTCTAACGCAATCATAGTGGATATATTAAGCGTTACGTAACGAACGTTACCAATTTATGATACCTTTGTGTAATAGTGTAATAGTGTAATATGAATATTTCGTATTATTAGCTTTCTAAAGAGCATTCGTACGATTCTCTATCGTTATTTTCGTTCTAATCGATTGACTCTGATATACCTCGATTATTTTCTTAACGTTCGTGTTCTATTTGCTTCGTTATTACGTCCGTTGAAGTAAAACTTGAATTGATCGCTTTATTTTGTATCGTTCTCCTCATAGGGCACCTGGTGGCGAATTGCAAATGATATTGGATAGAGACGAAGTCCCAGAAGAACGGCAGGTTGCGAGATTGTTGAAGCAGATTTTAGATGGTATTGCCTTCCTGCATTCTCTCAACGTAGCACACTTGGACATAAAGGTTAGTGTATTTCAAATACATACATTATATATATATATATATATATATATATATATATATATATATATACATATATGAAGATCTTTCAAATTCCAGCATATTAAATTGCGATAATAATGTTTGTTTAAAAGACATGTGCGTTGTTCTTCTATATTTACATTAATCGTTATATTGCACAAACGTTTCCAATGATAACATCAAGAATTTTTTAAAGGCCATTTCCAAATTATATATATATATATATATATATATATATATATATATATGTATATAAACACATACACATACGTATATCTTTATTATATATATATATATATATATATATATATATATATATATGTATATAAACACATACACATACGTATATCTTTATTATATATATATATATATATATATATATATATATTATAATAATAAAATGACTGAATTAGAATATGTAAAATGAAAAATACATATCGATATTAGAGAAAGTATAGACGATAGAAAGAGAATAAAAATTCTTCGTTCTTATCTTGAATGTTGACTATTGAGGGAGGGGAAATAAGATTTAGCGTACCTCATTTCTCGACCTTATCTCTTTCTTAGTGTTCTGTTAAAAATAAACATGGAACGACGATAACGATGTGGAAGGCAACGATAACGATCTTCTTCTTCTTCTTCTTCTTCATCTTTTTCTTCTTCTTCTTCTCCTTTTTTTCTTTTTCTTTTTTCTTTTTTTTTTTTGCAGTTGGTGCAAATAAAATGCGTTATTTAGATATTCCGGAGAATTGGCGAATAAAGGTTTTGAGGAAACAAAGCTCGTCGAAAATTGGCGAACAAATGTGAGAAATGCCTTAGGTGAATTAAATTGCAACAATGTCCATTATTGTGTGTCTTGAATCTTAAAATGGAAAATGGAAATGAAAGGAAAGAGATTTTTTGGCACGAAAAATATAAATTGCTATAGTATTTCCTAAGAATTTTAATGTGTGTTCGATCTACTACCTGTTCCGCATGTTGGACTCTGATGCGAACGGCCTATATAAATTGTTATATAAATACCCGTCTTCTTTGCCAAAAAGTCAATGCGTCCGCGCGATGCATGCTATTGTATAATTCTACCGGCTGTGTTCATTCGACAATTATATAAGAACCCTCCCACATACGCACAAACAGACACACACATACACACACGATAAAAATCTTATAAGGGATATGCTTAATCATTTCAATCTTTTCTTATTATAAACTTTCTCAGAAATTAATTTCAAAAGTAGTTTTGACACTAAAATATATATGTATGTATGTAGTACTTATGTATATTATATATATATATATATATATATATATATATATATATATATATATATAAGCACTATGACTATCTTGTTCAAGAGTTTTAAAAAATAATCTTGGAAGATCGACATAGGGGACGTTTAAAAAATCTATATTTCCTTTTTGCAAACAAGAAAGTCTCTTATGAGACAAATGACGATAGTGCCAACGATGGGGGTAAGATGGAATTGAGTTGGGATGGGAGTGAGACGGGTAAGAAAAGAATTAGTAAATTCACAGACACTTCACATCGGCAAAGAAATTCTTAACGAGATACACATTTCTATGGGGTGTTTCTTGGTAGGACATATTTTTGTAACCGACGTCGAGGGAGTCTATCGTCTCGGTACGATTCTTTACAAAAATAAAGTCCCTATCTTTCTTTTCACGCGCACACGCATGTGGCCGCCATTTACGCTGATTTTTTAATTGATAAAATTCATTTGAATTCTCTATTTGCTTTGTTCGTCTCTTTGAGCGTTGTGGTAAAAAAAACGACTAATGAGAAGAGAGAAGTAGGCGAGTATTTTCTATTTTTAGAAAACTCTCGACTCTCACCGAGTTATTTTGACTGGAAGTCTACTATCATTTATCATCATTGATCCGTGGCCTTGTCGATGAAATTCCCGCTTGAACGAGTCGGCAATTATACGCTCGCAAACATGGACTCGACGATAAAAACTTTCGACAGGTGTGTAAAATCATGCCGCGTGCCGTCCTATCTAACGAAATAAATGGAAAAGAAGAAGAAAAAAAAGAAAAAAGGAAAGAGAAAAATAAAGAAAATCAATCGAAAGATAGCCGGTTGTCGCCGTTTGAAAGATTATTTCAATTATTTGAATCTTAGGAACTACGATATGTGAAAGTCCTTCTTGTCGATGACAAAAAGTTTTGTCTATTAATTTCTAATATCACTTTAAAAGGAAAATGTCACTTTCGAAGATGACTGCTCGTGCGTATCAAAGAAAAACCATGAAGGAAATATCTCGTATTTGGAAAGAAGATAGAGAAGGCATTAAAAATAAAGAGAGAGAGAAAGAGAGAGAGAGAGAGAGAGAGAGAGAGAAAGAAAGAGAGAGAGAGAGAGAGAGAGAGAGAGAGAGAGAGAGAGAGAGAGAAAGAGAGAGAGAGACGATTTGTGATTGAAAATTTACATGAAGTTAGCGAATCGTTCGCGTAGGTATAATCTCATATATACACGTACATATGTACATTATCGATTATCAGAGTGATCGATATGGGAAAGCCAAGGCGAACGAGTATTAATAAAATATTCTGTCGGCCACAGGAACGACGACAACGATAAAGAAAAAGAAGATAAAGAAAAAGAAGATAAAGAAAAAGAAGAAGACGTCGCCACACACATCTCATACATTTACTTCACCCTTCCTCTTTGGTCTTGTATTTTTCTTTTCATTCCTCCTCCTTTTCTACTTCTACTTCTCCATCTCTTTCCTCCTACTCTTCCAACATTTCTAACCGGCAACAGGACAGTGAGATTACGAATTCACGCTCGGTGTTATATAACGAGCTATCGTGCCTTTTCGTTTTTCGTCAAAATCGTGTGAATAATTTGCCGAGACAGCGGTACCGAGACAAATTGGAAGCCGAGCAAAAGAGGGATGGTATCGAAAGGAAAGTGTGCGTGGATGGAATGTTAGAGGAAAGAGAGAGACAGGAAGAAAGAAAGAAAAAAAATAGAAGTGTACACATTGAAATGTTTTAATAAAACAGACGTGGCAAATAAGTCTAGGAAAGTGTTTCTCGGCAATTTACATAAAGTCCAAAGATAGACGAGTTATTCTTCGAAGAACATTCCAAACGACATTTTACATATTTCGTAAACGATATTGTCATAATATCAAATAAATTAATCTGAACTTTGCGATCTCATCTTTTTTTTTTCTTTTTTTCTTTCGTTTTAACCTCGTAAGAACTCGAATTCACGAGTTTCTTTATAACAAATGAAAGCAAAACAACGACGTAATCCATAGAGACCAGTTCGCAACGACCTTTGTCATACTTTATCAGCTATTCAACGAACGTTCGATAAGGAACGATGCGAGTTTATCTCGATGCGATAAGATAGCGGTTGTAACTTCGAGATACACGAATTGCGATGCACAAGAGAACGCAATTTTGCGACAACGACGCGTTAAATCTCTTTCGTAAAGCTAGCTATTATTTTCTTCCCCTCCAAAATGAAGTATCTTTTACGTTCTATGTAATGCGATTAGTTTATCAAAAATAGAAAACCAAAAAGAACGAGAGAAAGAGGAAAAGAGAAAACTCGCATGATTAGACACGAACATCTATTTAATATCTTTCTTACTACTGATAGATCGTAAGAAAAATAAAAAGTAAATAAATAAATAAAAATACGAGCGTTTGGTTTAAAGTAATATACAGTATATACCTATAACGCAGGTGCGATGTCGTTCCATTAGCGTATTCTATAAATAAGCGATGCTCGGTACCCGATGATGTGGCGAGCAAAATATTATTCCTTACACGAGAAGGCACTTACAACGTTTTGGATAAACTCATGAAGTCTAGACGGGCTTTTACGCGAATCAGGATATCGTCTTGGTTTACAGGTGAGTCTATCTCTTTTTCAATCGCATATATATATATATATATATATATATATATATCCTTAAAAGAGTGTGTACAAGAAAGAAAGAAAGATATTAACTATGGCTCGTTAATCCTTTTTTATTCTCTCCCTCTCTCTCTCATTTTCTTTCTTTCTCACTGTCCTTTTGCAGTCTCATGACTCTTCTGATAAAATTTGAGAAATCGTAAATCTCTTGGACGTTTCACGTAGGAAATACTTTTCATAACATACAACGTATTCACATAGTTGCGTCCGTGTACGATTTTAGATGGTGAAATATAGCGTATACAATTAGGGAATACCACGTGTCAAATGTTCCGTTCCATCCTGGCAAGGATCGTATCAACAAGAGGCCACTTAAGCTCTTACCAGTACGCTTACGTTCCGTGATATTTGTCAAAAGTGCGAACACCTTAGCGCGTGCAAAAGGAATTTCAATCGTCCGTTCCCTTTCACTGCACGCTTACTTTCTCTGTCTCTCTCTTTCCCCCCCTCTCTCCCCCTCTCTCTCCTTCTCTCTCTCCTCTCTCTCCCTCTCTCTTTCTCCCTCTCTCTCTCCCTCTCTCTCTCCCTCTCTCTATCGTGCACGTTCTTAATCTGCAACTTCATTTGCGAGCGCGAAAGTGCAAATGCATAAACAAGCGAGTTCGGAATTCCGCTCATATTTTTGGAAGAATAGTTTGAATAGTCGGACGATGAGGGTTTAATTTACCGTTGCGTGTTGCACGTTCATCACGAAGGTTATAATTCCTTTTCTTTCTTTTTCTTTTTCTTTATTATTTTTTTTTTCTTTTTTTTTTTGATATTCTCGTATTATCCCTCTTTCGTATTTAAATTTATTTTCGCGTTCGTAGGATAAACGTTTATTAATTATCTGCCTGGAAAGAATGATCTCATATTATATATGAAACGTAAAGGGAGTATTATGTCTCGTCTTAATCGTTTCGATTGGGACGAAGAAAAAAGAGACGATAAAAATAAGAAAGAGTATGAATAAAAAGAATAAAAAGAAGATGATGATGATCATGATGAAGAAGAAGAAAAGGGAGAAGAGACGAACGAATGGGTT